AAAAAAAAAAAAAAAAAAAAAAAAAAAAACTCCTGATGATTGGGGAAAAGCCCGATGAAACAGTCTGGCGCAGTCATGTTTTTTTTTACAACAAACGACAAGCAACACACACGCATACACTCACACTCACTCTCTCCAAGCATTGCAGGGTTGGTGTGAGTCAAGTCCACCACTTTTGTTAGGGGTATCCCTAACACTGAGCGATGCGGCGAGTCCTTATCCATCAGCCAAATGCATCTTTTGCACAGTGTGCAGACTGTCAAAGTTCAACCTCCTGACGAGACGGTGAAAGACCCACGAAACACTCTGTCCCAGTCATGCTTTTTTTGTGGAGTTCTGTACTGCAGATATGAACACACACACACACACACACACACACACACACGCACAGGCCCACATCCGCACGAGAGAGAGAGAGAGAGAGAGAGAGAGAGAGAGAGAGAGAGAGAGAGAGGGCAGCAGCAGCAGTACGGGGGGGAGCGGGCAGCAGCGGGAACGGGCTCGAAATGGCGGCAGCAGGAGCGGGAGCGGGCGGCAACCTGAGAGAGAGAGAGAGAGAGAGAGAGAGAGAGAGAGAGAGAGAGAGAGAGAGAGAGAGAGAGAGAGAGATGGTGGGAGGAGATCCCCGACATGCCGTCAGTGGGCTGCTACTGCCCGTTCGTGGCCACAAGCCCGGTACCGGCTTACCAGCCTACTTACGTGCCACAAGCCCGGTACCATCCTATCAGCCTACTTACGTGCACATTGCACCGGTCTACCTGGCCACATTTGCACCTGTCCGAAGGGACCACAGCCCAGGGGCAGACCCACCCACCTGGCTGACTGAAGTGCAGTCCTGCCTGACTGAAATGCAGTCTCAAACGCATGCCGTGGGAGTCGGTGGGACCCTTCTGCAGGGTCGAGTTTGAACTGCATTTCAAACTCAAACTCGGGCCCTGACTAAACTGCAAAAACCGTCTTCGTAATGCAATTTCTATCTGTTTTTGTGACCGTCTCGTAGTTTCCCCTTTTTTCAATACAATGAACCAGGCCGGTTTCTAGGGAGGCTGCTAGGAGTAGCGCTGCCTAGCAGGCTTTCTGGTTGCTCAAATCTATTGGTGGGGAGCTACACCTCATGGAAAACGGTCCAGCGCCCCTGTGGTTACAATTGGTTACAATTCAGTATTTCCAGAGTAGACTTCAGTGTCCGGCTGTGTCTCACTGCGTCAGTGTGTCCCGTCTTTTATTATCCTGACTCCCGGTGATGTCGGTGTCCACAGTGTTTCCCACTGTGTTCCACGGTGTCCCGCAAGGCATTTCTGAATATGTGCGTGTGTCCGCCGGCACATCTTCCAAGTATCTGACCAGAGAGTGCTTCAACTGGAAGGAACGTGCTCGAGCGTAGACAGCCTGCAGAATCTACAGAGGATCCACCATAAGATAGTGGATGGTCTAGATCAAATACAGCACGGATGTGAACTGATTATGGATCTGGTCTATAAATCGTCCATTACCTTATAATGGATCTTCACCCAGGCAACTATACTGCGACTGTATGGATTGTCGAAGTGTCTACATTGTACGCAGCTGTGTATCGAATTAGTTTATCAGATGCACTGTTGAGGATGCAAGATGTGGAAAGCTCCATGCCGGGGCTCCTACTTGGCTATGGAGGACGAGGGAGAGTAGGAGATGGTGGCAGAGGAAACGGCGGAGGTGGAGGAGGCCCAGGAGGGCTATGAATCTCCCACGGAGGCGGCCGTGGGCGGCCATGGCTGCGGTCGCGGCGACGGCCGCGCAACTTTGGGGCCGTGTGGCGGCTAGGGGGAG